TTTGCAGGGACCGCCCCCCCACATACATCCCAGCCTCAAAATTTGGCTGAACTTGTGGCGGTGGGGGACACAGGCAAGCCCCCGCTCCTCCTCCCACCCCTGCCCCCTGGGCGCCGCCCGGCTCCAGCCCCTCCCAGCCGCTGGCCTTACCGGTAATTCCCTTTCTTGGTGAGCAACTCCTTGAACTGCCCCAGGGTGACCACCCGGCCCTTGACCAGGGTGCGGTAGGGGATGGGCTCCCCGCAGAAGTAGTACGCCACCACGATGTTCTCCGAGGGCTGCGAGGAGCCGCCACTGCCGCCGCCGGGCCTCTTCTGCGGCTTCAGCCTAGGGAGCAAGCACCACACAGGGTCTCAGGGGGCCGCAGGCGGGGGCCCTCCCGGCTACTCCGGAAGACCTCAAGGGGGAGAGGGACGGGGGGGGGGCTCTCGTCAATGCCCCCGCTGCAGACCTCCCCTCTAGTCTGCCGACGGTGGTGCCGCCACCTCCTCCTCAGAAGGCACTGCTGTGGCCACCCTGGACACTTAGCACCGTGGAGCCCCTTTCAGAGACATGTGCAGAAGGCGACGGATCAGGGCCGGTGGGAATCTGGTCAAGAGGCCTCGTGGGCCTGAGAGGGGCGACTCCCCCCCCAATGCTGTTTTAGCCTCTGTCTCCAGGACACCCCCCCCCCCCCCCCACGCACACACCCACACAAGCCCTTCTGCATCTCAGGCAACCACCCCGCGGGGCTCTGGTCCCGGAGGAACTGGAGAGCGGAGGCATCCTGCCCTGGCCCAGGAAGGAAGAGGTCGACCCATCTGTCCTCCGGAGGAAGACCCCCGTCGTCCTCAGGGAGCCACGCAAAGGGGACCAGGGAGCTCGGCCCGGCCCCTGGGAGACACGGGGGCACGCCGGAGGGCAGGAGGCGCACTGGAAAGAACTGGACAAGCACGAGGCCTCCCCAGCTGACCCCCCCCCACACACACCACGGAAGCCACACTGCTCTGGCGCTCTCGACTGATCTGCAGTGTGGCCCGCCTGCTCACTCCCGCCCCAGGCCCGCCTGCTCTCTCGCTCTCTCGCAGCGCTGAGACACACGCAGTGCTGAGACACACTGGCTCCAGGCGGGCTCCCCTGGAAGTCCACCCCCCCCCACAGCCCCACTACACATTCCGCCTCTCAGCCATTCCACTTCCCCGCATGCACAACACGACAGGAGTTCCAGTGAACCTCCAGAACCAGAGATGCACACGGTCTGGCAGGAGACGGGCGCTGGGGGCGGCCCAAAGCTCTGCTCGCGAGGCCTGCCCCGGCCGAACCAGGCCCCAGGCCACCCTGGGGAGCAAACAGCACCTGGAGCAAGTGGAAACCTCCGGAAGAGAAAGCCCAGGTGAGGGGGGACGTTCGCCAGCCCCTTCCTGCCAAGCATGCAGCCGCTGCAGCCTCTGACGCTGCTGCCCAAAGGCCAAGCCAGCCCCAGGGAGGAGGAGACCCCCCCCCAGCAGGCCCCTCCAACAAACCAGAGGGGGGGGGGAGTCTGTCAGGGTGCCGGGGGGGGGGGGGAGGAGACACAGAGAGCGGTGGCACGTACTCGGACTCGGAGAGATCCAGGTCGGAGACGGCGGGTACCACATTCCGCACTGGCACACAAGCCGGCCTGACAGAGGAGCGCCCACGCTGGATAACCTCCTGCACATACCTGAAGAACAACCTGAGACATTAGACTCTCTGGGCTCCTCACCAGGCCCACAACTGGCCCCACGCTGGTAAGGCAGGAGATCCCAAGCCCCGTGGGGCCCCCCCCCCTCCCCCGGGGGGCCTCCCCTCCTCCTGCTGAGTCGGCGCCCACGGCGGGTTCTGGCTGCATGTCAGCCAGGCGAGAGGGCCAGAGGGCTGCCTCCGCTCACACACCATGAGTCAGAAAGAGGCGCGTCATGTCACACGGTCGGGGGAAGCCACAGCATCAGATGCCACAGGGCTGAGACAACCGCCCTGCTCTCAGCCCGGCCGGGCCGGGTGGACGGGAGAAGCCAGAGGACTCGCACGGGCCGCAGAGCCCAGCTCCTGAAGCACCCCTTTGCCCGACGCCAGCTGAGCCCCCCCCCCCCCCCGAGAGTGCCGGGGCGCCCCCCCGCCCCCCCCGCCCCTGACGCGCCATGCAAAGGGAACGCGCAGTGCGCCTTCTGCAGCCATCTCCCCAGCCATAGGCGTAATCTTCGTGGGGGCGGCGGGGCGTTAGTCCCCGCCGAAATTTTCAGGAAAGTGCTCAGCCTCCACCGGGACCCACCCTTGCTCCTAGCAAAGCAATGCCTCTGGCCCAGCCCCAGCCCCCCCCTGGGAAATTGGAAAGTCTACACCCTTGTCACCAGCAGCTCCGAGGGAGCCTGTGGAACGCATGCACGCACCCCCCCAAGCGGCCTTCTACCAAGTCAAACCGCAGACACTGCTGGGGCCAAGCGTGGTCTCCCCCACCAGGCAGTGCTCTGGCATCATCCCCCCCCCGGGATTGCACACATGCCAAGCAGGAGAGCCCTCCCCCCCCAGCACAGCGATTCTTGGAGACTCAGACACACACACCCGCCAGCTGTTCTGCTGCTCTGGGCTGCACGCCACACGCCCCCTCAGGGAAGTGCAAACCCGTGGCTGCAAAGCGGCAGTCTGCTCTATCTGGTCGGGAAAGATTTCTCCCCGAGGACGGGGGTGGGGAATCAACGTGCCGAAAGTCTCCCCACCGGCTCCCCCCGCTGCTGCCTCCTCCCTCCCGAGGGATCCGACGACCCTGGGTGCAAGTCGCCTCCCCCCACCAGGCGTGAGCACCTGACCCTCCGTCGCTCTGCCCTCCAAGGAGGCCCTCACCCACCAGGACCCTCCGCTACCGACCCAATGGGGGGGCAGTGCCAGTCGGGGGCAAGCTCTGCCCTGAGCCCCCCCCGGTCTGAAGGGCAGCTGATGATCCCCCCACCCACCCAGAGGCCCCGCCGGTGCGCCAGGAGGGGCCGCTCCTCCACTCCCCGCCCCCCCCACGCCCGGTGGCCCCTTACCGCTGCTTGGCGGCTGCCTTCCCGGCCCGCTTCTCCTCCTCTTCGAGCCGCCGGCGGGCTTCCTCCAGCTGGGTCAGAGGGTTGGGAGCCGGGTTGGGGGGCATGGTGGGGTCCTGGACGAAGGGGTGCGAGGGCTGCACGACGTTCCGGAGCTGGGTGCTGACCCAGGGGTGGACGGCCAAGGGCCGCTCGACGGAGACGGGGCGGGGCGCCTCGTGCACCAGGGGCTTCTTGGTGCCTGAAGACCTGGAGGAGAACCGCAAGAGCGACTCAGAGGCCGGGCACCAGGAGACCCTCACCGCCACACACGCGTGCGCGCACACACGCATGCACACCCCCCACTGGCCCAGGACCACCCCACGTGAGAGCTGGCGCAGAAGACAAAACCGGGGAGCCTCCTGCCCAGTTGCCCAGCCGGCCTGGTAAGGCTCTCGAGGCCGCCGCCGCCGCCGCCGCCTCCTCCACCATCCGTGGCAACGAGAGACACGCCACTTCTTCAGCAGCGGCACCAGGCCCGTGGGCTCCCTTCCCCTACGCGGCTCCCGTCCAGCCCCCAGGCCAAGAGGGTTCTACTCAGACAGGCAGGGGCTCCCCAGGGCCTCAGGCAGAGAAAGGGCCTCTTCCCCGTCTCCTTTCAGCGGGAGAGGCTGCCGGGGACTGAGCCCGGGACCTTCTGCCCCCGAGCAACGGCCCCTTCTGCAGGTGCCTTCCGTCTGGAACGATCGTTTCTAAACAGCCCTCCCGGGGTGGCCGCCCCGGCTGTGCCCGGCCCGTCCACAGCTTTGTGAGTAAGGCCCCCCACCCCGCCCCGCCCCTTACCCGTGAGTCGTCTTCTTGTGGCGGCTAATCTCCTTCTCGCCTTCTATGATCCACTGCATGATCTTCTGGTTTTTCTCCACGTCCTCCGGAGAGGCTGGCACGTCGTGGCTGGCCCCCTCGCTCTTCCCCACCTCCAGCTTCTTGGGGTTTCTTTTCGAGAGCAGGCCGGCTTTCCCACTGGAAGAAGGAGGCGGCGGCAGGAGGCAAAGGGATCAGCCCCCGCCGGGGAGAGGAGACATGCCTCCCGGGCTCCCCCCCCCCAGGCACCACTGGACAAGGCTTTGCCCCTCCTTGGCTGACAGCGGGGCACCACCGGGGCCCACCCACACCTCCTCCCGCGAAGACCCCGGTGGGCCAGCCGAGGAGAGGCCCACGGATCCGGAACCACCACCACCCCCCGGGTCCCCACAGTGGCCGACTGGACGCTCTCGGGCATCTCCACGGGCAGGGCAGGAAGGCGGCATTCTTTCTCCATCGCCCTCTTCACTCCCGTGAGGGACCTCCGTCCCTGCGAGGGGTGTCTCCCACCCTTTCGTGACCCCTGACTTCCCACGGACGGATCCTGGAGGCAGGGAGGCAGAGTCCCCGGACGCCCCCAATCCCGGGAAGAACGCCCTTTGCAGGCCTCACGACTGGTGGGGTTTTTTTTGTTTTTTAGGCATACCAGTGCCCACCCCAGGACACAGAGCAGCTGCCGGGGGGGGGGTGCGCCCTGCTCCGTCCAGTGAGTCAGAGGCACCTCTGTCCCCTCCTGCCCTGGCTCATACAGAAGGCAACGGGGCCCCAAGCAGCAGGCAGAGGGCGTGCCCAGGAGCACCAGGCCTTCCCCCTCTGCTGGGCCTGCCCAGGAGGGAAGATGCCACCCAATCCACCAGAAACGGTAGAGCCTCTAAGCTACCAGGCCCGGATGGTGCTTCCCCCCCCCCTTCCCACTGCAGCTAACCAGGCGGGCTTCTCAGTGCGCGTCAGTGGCGGGAATTCCCTGGCCTGCCAAGCTATGGGCCCCTGACCAAGCCAGCTCCCGGGGCCCAAGGGCCAGGGGGCAGAGAGGCCCAACGGCAGCCCCGACCGACACCCCCCCCCCGGTCTCACGCTCACCTGTGGCCCAAGGCGTCCACGGGTGCCGGGGCCAGGCCGACGCCTTCCCCGCAGGCCCGCCCTTTTGCGGCATAGCTGTGGGCCTCCAGGCTCCAGGCGAAGCCGCCCTGGCCCCCCCGCGGGGCCCCGGCTTCAGCCTCCAGCGGCTCCTTGGGCTTGAGGGGGCCGTGGTGGTGGGGGCCGTGGTGGTGGTGGGGGCCGTGCCTGGGGTGGTGGAGGCTGGCGGCGTCCAGCTTCAGGCCGGCCTTGGCTGCGTGCTTGCCGTGCCCCAGCGGGATCGTCCCAGCCACGCCGTGCAGCAGCCTCCCGGCCAGCCCGCCGTCGGGGGAGCGGGGCTTGGGGGAGTGCCGGCCGGGGCCCGGCGACTGGCAGCCGGGCGTCTTCAGGACCCGCTGCACGTGCTCGTCCAGGATGCTCTCCGGGTTCTCCTCGTGGGCGTCCCTCAGCGGCATCTCCGCGTAGCGGGGGGCAAAGTGGGGCAAGAGCTGGGCGGGGGGCAGCCTTTGGCTTGGGAAGGAGGGGGCCGAGGGGAGGCCGGCATCCTCGCCTTCCCCCCAGGGCTCACAGGCTCCCCGGGCAGCACGGCCAGGCAGTACCCGTCTCCCGCTCATGGAGGCGATTAAGGACTTCCGCTTGGGGTGGGGGTGGGGCTGATGGGAGGGGAGGGGAGGGGAGGGCCAGGTGGCGACAGGGGAGCCTCCAGGAAGGGAGGCCCCCCCTCCCCCCGGGCAAGGGGGACAGAGAGAGAGAGAGAGAGAGGCTGAAGGGGGAGCCCCCAGGGCCCCGGGGCAGATCCCGGTGGCGCCCGGCCACTCCCCCCCTCGAGACCCAGCGACAGAAGCCGGTCTGGCCCCACCCCACGGCACGGGGAGCACCGGGGAGGCTGCGTGGAAAGGACCGGCTCGGGAGAGAGTTTCCCTCAACAGAGAGAGAGAGAGCCCCTCGCGGCTCCCCTCCCCTCTGCAACACGGTCCGGTCTCATCCCTCCAGGCCCCCGGCTGGCTCAGCGGAGCTCCTGCACCCGCCCACCTCTCCCTGGAAGAGTCCCCGGATGGGGCACGGAAGCACAGCCCAGCCCAGGGGGAGCAAGAAGAGGCGTCCTGCCTGTGCCGCGGGTCCCCTCCACAGCCCTCAGCCCTCGCGGAGCACGGGAACGCCCAGGAAGCGGAACACTTTCATTCCAGGGGAGGACAGCCCGCCCAGGCAGCGGCCCCAAGGGACGCACCGCACTGCACTGCAGGGAGCTCGCCAGGCTACCACTGCCCTGAAAGGAGCAGACCGAAGGGGGGGGGCCGCCCCCACTCACCGCTCTGACGCGCTTCAGGCGCTCCTCCAGCTTGGCCTCTGCTTCCCGGTCCCTCAGGACTTCCTCCAGCCGGTTTATCAGCTCTGCTGCAAACTTCTGCGGTTCTACGTGGATATCCTTTGGCATTCGGTAGGTACGCTGAGGGGCAAGACACACACACACACACACACACAGGTTAGCAGAGCCGTTCCTCCCCCCCCCCCATTTTCCCCAGGATTACAACTTCCTCCGTGAGTCCTGCAGAACCCGTGAGGGAGCCGGATCCCTGCCCTCAAAGTCCCTGGGGGGGGAGAGGCCAAGGGCCACTCCCGCCCCCCCCTTCCAG